CCCCCTGCCTGATGCTGATCCATCTTCCCAATTCCTCTGTGAGATCATGGAGGGTGGATACACATACTATTCACATCTACACATCCAGGACCACCACTGTAAATGCAAGAGATCTGGCAGTCAAACTCGGGGAACCTAGCACCTCCTTCCACTGCCCAGGGTGTCTGAAGCCTACACTCCTGACCAACGAAAATAATCACCCAGAGCCCAAGCCTGTGAGGGTGCTAAACGCTGGAAGCATGGCTGGGAGGAGGGGGCTTCAGAGCCAAACGGGGAGTGGTTGGGGAACGGAGCTGCTACCTGCTGTTGTCAACACCACAGACACAAGAGCCTGGCTCCAAAGCTTTTCCAAGAATAGGCCTCAAGAAAAGAAAGGCAACTGGATTCTTTCACAAAAGTGATTGAGCAACACAGCATACAACCCCTGAGCAAGCAGACTCCAGCCATAGTACCAAGCAGGAAATCTAGGCCTGGCAAAGAGGGCCACGGTGGAGACCGGGCGCCCTCTGCTGGCCTGAGTGTCCCACACAACACACAAGCCTGGCCCACAGATCCACCAGAATAGGGATCGGAGGTCTCAGGTCTCCAAAGCATGGCAATGTGGGGCTTGATGGAGCAGCTGTAAGTCTGGGGTCCTGCGGAATCCAGAGCCCGCATTCAGCAGAGTTCCAAACTAAGTGCTCTCTCAGGTAGCTAGCTCCATGCATGAGTAACAAGAAAGGGTGAAGCACAAGGCATTCAGGGAAAGGGCACAGAGGGTGGGAACTGGTATTGATCTGGTATCTCCTGTGTGCTGGCACTGAGTGGGATGCTGGGCACACAGTGACACTACTCCACCCCCCTCTAAGTGTGTGCCTCCCTGGGAGCACAAGTAGGGTGTCTGTAAATCCTCAAATATACAACGTGCCCCTTCTAAGAGGCTGGTTTTGCTCCAAATTAAACAACTTGCTACAAATGAAACAACTTAAAAAATTAAAATATATGTCAAGATTAGTAGAATGCAAAATGTTTATTAAGTTTTCTAGCTAAATTGTGAAACTTCAAATAGATTCCATGCTTGAGGCTACCCCCCCAGGTCCAACAGAGAGGACATACCAGTTCTCTTTGGTTGAGATTATTTCAAAATGTCTGAGAAGTATATGCACACACATCCTGCACATACACTCCCACCCATCACAGGACAAAGGATGATGTGTGAAGATGTGAAAACTGGCTCCTTTTAGATCCTCGCATGCAGGGCTAGTTGGACACTCCTCAAAGCTCCTAGAATGGTGTATCTCAGTAATGCTCAGTTATGTCCATCTCAAATATGTTCTGCTGCTGTGCCAGCTCTTGAAAACATAGGTGCTCTGAGCTCCTCCTGAATTAAGCCACAGTATCTGGAAGCTGAAAATCACCCTGCGGAATAAAGTCACTTCAGAAGTAACACAAACACAGAGTCACCACCTGGCTCTAAGAAACACTTAGATGAAAAATACTGCTGCTAATTTTACTATTGTAGACACCCATGAAAGAATCATGCCATAAATGCCTCTTGGAACTTGGTGTGTCTTTTAACAGGTAATGTTCTTGTTGTTAGGTGCCGTCAGGTTAGTTCCAACTCAGCGACCCTACGCACAAAGCATGAAACACAGCCAGGTCTTGTGCTACCCTCACAATTGTTGTGTTTGAGCCAATTGTTCTAACCACTGTGTCAATCCATTGGGAGTCTTCCTCTTTTTTGCTGACCCTTTCCTTTACCAAGCATAATGTCCTTCACTAGGAACTGATCCCTCTTGACAATATGTCCAAAGTATCAGAGACAAAATCTTGCCCTTCTGGCTTCTAAGGAACATTATGACTGTACTTCTTCCAACACAATTTGTTTGTTCTTCTAGCAGGTCCACGGTACTCTGAACATTCTTCTCCAAAACCATAACTCAAATATATCAGTTCTTCTATGGTCTTCCTTATTCACTGTCCAACTTTCACATGAATATGAGGTTATTGAAAATACCATATCTTGGGTCAGGTGCAACTTATTCCTCAAACTGACATCTGTGCTCTTAAAACACTTCAGAGAGATCTTCTGTAGCAGATGTGCCTAATGCAATATATTGTTTGATTTCTTGACTGCTGCTTCCATGAGTGTTGGTTGTGGAGCCAAGCAAAATGAAGTCTTTGACAACTTCAATCTTTTCTCCGTTTAGCATGATGTTATTTATTGGTCCAGTTGTGAAGCTTTTTTTTTTTACATTGAGGTGCAATCCATACTGAAAACTGTGGTCTGTGATATTCATCAGTAAACATTTTAAGTACTCTTTGCTTCCAGTGATCAAGTGTGTATCATTTGCACATCACAGGTTGTTAATGAGTGCTCCTCCTATCCTGATGCCACAATCCAGCTTCTTGGATTATTTGCTCATGGATATACAGTGAATAAGCATGTTGAAAGGATACAATCCTGGCACACACATTTCCTGATTTTAAACCATTCAGTGTCCCTTGTTGTGTTCTAAGGACCGCCTCATGGTCTATGTACATGGTTCCGCATGAGCACAATTAAATGTTCTGAAATACCCATGCTTTGCAATATTATCCATAGTTAGACATGATCCATACATGGATCGTGTCTTTGCATAGTCAATAAAACACAAGTAAACATCTTTCTGATATTCTCTGCTTTCAGTCAAGATCCACCTGATGTTAGCAATGATATCCTTTATTCTACATCCTTTTCTGAATTCGGCTTGAATTCCTGGCAGCTCCCTGCTACAATCAGCTTTTAATTACTTTCGGCAAAATTTCACTAACGTGAGATATTAAACAGATAATGAGAGCTGTGCAATTCATTGTTTCCCTTTTTGTCCTGGCTTCCAGAAGGTCTAGAACCATCCACACCATGACTAACTGTTGCGCTTCTTGACTGTATAACTTTTGTTCATTTTAACTCTATCCTAGCAATCCCGTAGCTTCTCTTGGACACAAGCTCTGGGTCTATTTATAGGAAGGCAAAGGGTAAAACAAACAACAAATAAGTGAATCTGTCATCTCATCCCTTGTTGAAACTCTCTTCTCCTTTAGGGTCTGAGACTGCAGTCTCTCAGCTAGCTCTCTTTCCTCTACTTAATTTGTCGAATCTTCTTGACTGCCCTTGAACTGTTGGTATCCCCGCAAATCCCCTCTTCAACTCATTTCTCTGCCCTCCACCTCTGTTCTCTGATCAACTTCATCAGATATGTCCAAATCTACATCTTACGCCCAATTCCTCTCCTAAGTTGCATTCTCATGTACCCTTCCACTGGGCAAACCCTTCACATTTAACATGTCCCTCTTCAACCTGTCCTCCACCAGTGTTCCTTAATTCAGTGGGAGGAAACAAGTCAGCAAATTATGAGAATGTTGTTGTTTTGTTGTTATTGGTAAGTGTTGTTGAGTTGGTTATGACCTATATCGACCCTGTATAGGGTTTCCAAAGAATTACTGGTGAGCATGAACCAATAACCTTGCGATTCAAACCGACTTTGCAGTCCAGCACATTAACCCACAGTGCCACACCAGGACTCAATAGTGGCCGTCCAGTCAGCCCCTGACTCCTGGTGATCCCAAGAACAATGGGATTGGACCATTGAGGTCCATAGGGTTTTCACTGGTCAATTTTTTGGAAAGAGACCACCAGTTCAACATCACAGCAACATGTACGCCTCCATTGACAGGGAAGTACATTGGCAGGGACTCTATACACCAGCCTACCCCTCAGTCTACCACACTGAAGGCGACAACTCTGCAACTCAGCCACCACTGCTACCTGGGAAATATTCTCAACAATCTTTGTCCTTTCCATTCCAACGACAGCCAGCCAAGTCCTCACCTTAACCTCCTATCAGGGCTGTCCACTCCCAGTCCTGCTTCTTCTAATCCTATTTCACTCCCCTTCCAGCCTGGCCTGTGACACGCAAATGTGACCATGTCACTCTTCTGCATGACTCTTCCTCAGCTACAAGGCAGGTCAGGGTCCCTGCTCAGCCCTGCATGACCTAGATCCTGCCATTAATCACCCTAACCTTCTGGTCTCTGTGGCTTTGCTTAGACTACACCTCTGCCTAGGACACCCACCTTCCCCTTCTGCTTAGCTCCCATCTGCTTCCACCACCCTCAAATAATAGCTTATTGTGTTTGCAGTGAATGTTTATACAGCAAATTAGGCTTCTATTTGACAATTTCTATACAGCTTGTTCAGTGATACTGGTTACATTTCTCACGTTAACATTTTCTTTAATTGCGTTCTGATTGTTCTGCTTCTAGTATTCTAGTTTACCTGCCCACTTATCTTTTCATCGTTGTTTAAAGATAATTGTTAACTTTCTGATCTCATATAGATGGTCTGTTAGTGGCTCACTGTACTTGCAGATAATATCCTTTTATACTGTGTACCAATCTGTTATTTTGCTAAAAGGGGACCTCACAAGGTAGTTCCCTCAGTTCAAGGTTTAAAGTGTATCTCAGACGATAATTTCAGAGAGGTCCTCTAGTTTAAACTGGTCCGATAAGTCTGGACTTGTTAAGAATTTTAGTTTTGGTCTGTGTTTTCCTTCTGCTCTGTCAGAGTCCATCTACTGTAGCCCTGATCAGAATGGTTGGTAGTTGTAGCTGGGCACCATCTAGTTCTGGTTTCAGGGTAGATGAGGCCATGGCTCATGTAGACCAAGTACTTTTTATGATATATTATAGTCCTCTTTCCAGAAGTCTTCTAGAACCCCTTCTCCTGGGTGACATGCACCTTCTCTATACACCTCCTTAGCTCCCACCTACCCCACTGTACACCCTTTCACCATCTGTGTCTGATTTTACATGTCTGTCTCCCTGTGGACTACAAGCATCGGTGCTTGATTCACTCTGGTATCCTGATGACTCAACACGGGTCAGGCAGTGCCGTCTCACGAAATCTCCCTGGTGGGTAGATGTACCTCAGTGGAGCCCCAGAGCCCACCCACCAATGCTGCCCGAAGTCCCCAGCTCACCAAGAACTGGACGACATCCTCGGGCTTGTGCTTGGCTGACTTGAACGTGGCCAGCTGGGTCACCACCAGGATCTGGTACTCCACATGGCCTGACATCATCTTGCCCCGCACCTCCTGGTGCTGGGGTACAGTCAGGTCCAGGCCTGTGTGCACATTCTGAATGTGTCTGCCAAAAGGAGAAGGTGACATAGAAGTTTAGGTTCAAAACAGTAGGCATCTTAATGGAAACGCAGGTAGAGCTTTGGCCTGGCTCCATGGACTGGGAATGATGCTGCTCTGTTGGTGGTCCTCAGTGGCCCTCACTCCAGACTACCCCACCCAAAACATCAAAAAGAAACAAGGCATGAGATCAGATCACTGTGAAAAGGAAGCATAAACAGAGCTGTACTTCCGGTGGGTAAAGGTGAAGGGTGGTGGTCTCTTAGCAGAACTGGTGAGTACAAAGCAGACGGAAGGCACACCTGCCCATCACCTCTCATTATCACATTTCACTCGTCTAGCAGCCAGCTTTGACAGTTCTTTACTCACATCAGGACCTATATATTCAGGGAGCCACCGCCTTTCCACCAGGCTTCGTTACTCCAGGTCTCAACCAGTCTGGACTGCACATTTCCATTGCTGGAATGACTGTCTAAGTCCTCAGCACACCTGCCCTCTCTGAGTGTAGAGCTGGCCTGGAAAAACCCCAAGACTCCAGTTCTGGGCCTCCTTTCTACTATGCTCAGGCAACTAACTGAACTCAATGTACACCATGCTGCCTGGTAGTCCTACTTTATCCTTTTATTTTCTGCTCTAAGTTTTTTGTTGAAACTATGTATTTTCAGTAATGGAAAGCACTTTTTTAAAAAACAAAAAAGATTTTTAAAAAACTGAAAAAAATTTGAGGCAGTATACATTTTAATATAATCAACAGGAGGGTGTCTGTGGTGCTGGGGTTGGTGGGATGAGGCTTGTTACTTCAGATCCACACAGTTACACAGGCCCCAACCAGATGGTGGCAAGCACTTAAAGTGGGATAGCAGACTCCCACTAAACTCCAGAGGTGGAAAATGTAGGTGGGCAACATGTCCCACAGGTCACAAAAGGGCTCAATCCATGAGCACAAACTTCCAGCTGGCAGCAGAGGCCTAGTAGCCCCACTAGACTATCCTAGACCCATGGCTCTCAAAGTGCAGTTTCAGGACCAGCAGTGTTGGCAATACCTGGGACCTTGCTAGAGAAGCAAATGCAGACTGCTAAATCAGAAACCACGGGAATGGGCCCAGCAAGGAGCTTAACAAGCCCTCCAGGTGGTTCTGGTGCTTCTGATCCGAATCCATTCGCTCTCCGACTTTCCTAGATCCCTAGGAAAACTTCTGTAAAGGGCCAGATGGTCTCTATCACAACCACTCAATTCTGCTATCCGGGCTTGGAACTGCTTCAATCTGGTTTAACCCCCGGCTGAGAATTTGCCTTTCCATCCCAGATACACTGAACCAGATCCCCAGGTGACTCTTATGTATCTTACTAAAATGTAGATTCTGATTCAATATATCTGGACAAATTCTCAGTAGCGGGGTCAAACCAAAATGAAGCAGTTCAAAGCCCTGGCTATACTACCTGAAATCAACCACAGACGATTTATAAGCAGATGGGGGTGTGTTCTCATAAAACTTTACTTACAAAAGCAAATTGCTTGCCTGGTGACTAGGATGTCATCTGAGGAGGACTAGAGCGTGGGGTAGCAATAGCTGCTGCCACCACCCCTGAGGAGCCCCGAACCCCAGCCCTGAGCCCTGCAGATAAAAGACCTTGAGGTTGGCCTCATAAAGGTGGCGCTTCCCCTTTCCAGAGCCTGAAAGAAAAGTAATAATTAGGGACTTCTGGCAAAATGGAAGACTGAGAAGACACACTGCATGAACCCTCTACAACAAAGATATGAAAGCCAGCCTGCCAACCACTCCACAGTAAATGATGCGGTTTTCTGATTCTGCAAAAGATTTATAAGTCACAGCCCAGGGTGAGCCATGGCTCTGGAGAAGCCTCACTATCCAAGCAAAAGAAGAATTTTGGAAGCATATTCAAAGCTTCATGCCTCAAGATTGATAGTGGATCCCAGTGAAAGGCTTGGAATGGGAGGTTGGAAAGGAGTGTGCCACTGATACTTTGAAATATGAATTATATACTTGTACAAAAACAAACAAACAATCTATGATGGTTAGGGGTGGGGAGACCACTGGGCAGACACATGTGGATACAGATGATAGAGCAGACAATATACAACAAGAGGGAGTCTAACAGAGGAAAGATGAAGGTAGCAGGAGACACAGGGAGGAATGTACCAATAAAGGGAACAGAAGTAAATGATATTAACTGTTGGTACATGGAGGGGGCAGCAAACATGTAACGAAGCAAAGTACATGATTTGTTCAATGTAAAACTGATGATCTGCTCTGTAAACCTTCACTCAATTCACAATAAAAAGTTTAAAAAAATTACGCAAGAAGCTGAATGGACCCCAAATAGAATTGTTGTTGTTGTTATGTGCCTTGGAGTTGATTCTGACTCATAGCGACCCTTGGTTTCCAAGACTGTAAATCTTTACCGGAGCAGAAAGTCTCATCTTTCTCCCACAAAACAGCTGGTAGTTTCGAACTGCTGACCGTGAGATTAGCAGCCCGATTTGTAACTACTATGCTACCAGAGCTCCTTCCAAATAGGACAGACCCCAAAATAAAATCAGCAAGACATAATTAAGCTTTCCAAAATTAAGGATAAGGGAAGAATCCTGAAAGTAGCTCGGGAAAAGTGAAAATGCTACCTACAATGGAAAACTGTAAGATTAAGTACTGACTTCTCAGCAGAAACCATGAAAGCGAAAATGCAATTAATGGGGAGACATATATAAAACTCTGAAAGAAAACAACCACCAACCAAGATTCCTATACCTAGCTACACTTCAATAACCGACCTTGTGGTTCAAATGGACCTTGCAGTCCAGCTCATTAGCTCACAGTGCCAAACCAGGATTCTGATCTTCTTTGTAAGTATACAGATATTATCTTATCACAGACAGTGCTGTACTTCAAGACAGATCTTCATATGTTATTTTTGATGATGAATGCAACATCACTCCTCTTCCATTTGTTATTCCCACACAAACTATGTTAATTGTTAGATTCAAAATGGCCATTACCAGTCCACTTCAGCTCACTAATGCCTAGGATATTGGTGCTTAAGTGTTCCATTTCATTTTTTATAATTTCCAATTTTCCTATATTCATACTTCATACATTAAATGTTCTAACTACTAATGGATGTTCACAGTTGTTTCTAAGGAGCTCTGGTAGCATAATGGTTACGAGTCGGGCTGCTAATCTCATGGTTAGCAGTTCAAAACTACCAGCTGTTCCACGGAAGAAAGATGAGGCTTTCTGCTCCCGTAAAGATTTACAGCCTCGGAAACCCTGTACAGGGTCACTATGAGTCGGAACCGACTCCATGGCGCATAACAACAACAGCATCAACAGTGGTTTCTCTTCATTTTGAGTTGTGCCCCATCAGCAAATGAAGGTTCCAAAGGCTTTACTTGATTGGTGTCATCATGGTTAACTTTTCTTTGAGGAGGAAGCTCTTCTCCTCAAAGTACCTTCCAACCTGAGAGGCTCAACTCTGACACTATATATTACAGTATACTGGTGCTCTTCACCATGTTTCAATAGTCATTATTTTGGTGCTATCTGACAGTGTTCTACTGCTATTCATACAGTCTTCAGTGACTAAATATTCAGAAATAGTTCGTCTCTCCTTCTTCCTAGTCTGTTTTCCTCTGTAAGCTCACCTGAAACCTGTCCACCATGGATATGACCTTCTAGTATTTAAAATACCAGTGGCATAGCTTCCAGAATCACAGCAACACACAAGTCACCACAGTACAACAAACTGACAGACTAATGATTGAAACATGAACTCACCCCTAAAATGATGGCTGGAACTGCGGTTGCCTTGGCAAGGCCAGATCAAATTATTTCACGGTCTTATGTGGCCCATGGGAGTCCTGGTGTGGTGCTGTGGGTTAATGTGCCAGACTGCAAAGCCGTTAGAACTGCAAGGTCGGTGGTTCAAGCTCAGCAGCTGCTCTTCAGAAACCCTATACAGGGTCGCTATGGGTTGGAACTGACTCGACAGCACTTAACAACAACAACATACGGCCCATGGGTCACACGTTCCCCACCCGTGCTCTATACTAATAAAGACATCTCTGAAAAGGAAATTAGGAAAACAGTATCATTTACAACAGTCACCCAAAGGATGAAATGTTGTTAAGTGCTGTCAAGTCTATTCTGATTCATAGCGACTCTTGTATAGGGTTTCCAAGGAGGAGCTGGTGAGCTTGAACCACCAAACTTGTGGTTAAAATGGATTTTTCAGTCCAGCGAATTATCCCACAGTGCCACACCAAGACTCCAAATAAATCTAATTAGGGAAACAAAAAACCTATATAAAGAAAGCTACAAAACACTACTACAAGAAACCAAAAGAGATATACAAAAATGAAGAATATCTTCACTGTGTGGTTTCCAATCTGTCTAGACAAGGTTGGTAAAAGGAGATGGGTATAAGACTCCTGTGGTTCAATAGTGAGTAATTGGTATCAGGATTGACTGCAATTGTTGCACATGTAAAGGTAGACATTTTATAACAAAAGGAGGGGAGTGGTTGATCTTGCAGTCCAGGAGAGGAGAATCCTGGATCCATCAAAGAGAGGAGAGCGGAGTGCGGGACCCTATCCAGAGAAGCAGTGACACCAGAGATGGAGGCAGAGACAATGATGTGGAGAGATGGGAGTGGCTGGGGACTCTAGACTCAAGGAGGGAGAGGGGCTGTGTGCTGGCAACTGGGAGACAGGCTTTCAGGGTATGCCCTTTGGTTGTCTGAATGGTTATCTATTCCTGAGTGCTTCAGTGTACATCCAAAAAAACAAACAAACAAACAGAGGGAAAGGAAGCAAATGCTGTTGAATTATGATGCATGGAGAGGATTGTAATTATTGCAATAAAATGAAACACGTCAGGATGAATGTAAAACTGATGTTCTCCCATGTAAAATATTACTCAATTCACAATAAAAACTTAAAAAAAAAAAAAATATACCATGCTCATGGATAGAAGACTTAACATTGTGAAT